TATAAAGTTTGCTTTTTTTTTAACCACTGTTTATTATGTTGTCCTACCATTGTTATATACTGACAAGTTGCAATCAACTATTTGATTAATTGGCTGAGCTAAACAGGTAATTATAAACCAACAAAAACCTTTGTTTTTATGAGACCAAACTATAAACAAGTTCCCATGACACAGTGCATAAATGTCAAAACCTTTTGATATAAATACTGAAAAGAAGTGAAACTGAAAGCATTTTGACATAATCATATGTAGTCGATTATAGAAACTCATGTTCACTCTTAGTCATTAGGTTTACTGAAAGATCTTCAATTATTCTGATTAATCAGAACACAAATAGTGGAAATTATAATCAAATGGATTAACATTTATTTATTCTAACAGTAAACAGACAAATGATATGTGAGAGTTCCTTTCAATTTGTATTATTGCAAGTCAACATTTTAGGGAAAGAGTACAATGGGAAGAGAATTAGTTGGGCACATTGTGTCTTTACTGTTTCACATGTTCAAAGGAGATAAACACACAACTTATACAACTTGTTCAAGATGTAGCGTATCATTGAAACAATCTTAGAATATTAGAATGTAAAGTTAAACAAGTGACATATGTAATTAAATCTTTTGTGGTAGCTGCTTGCTTACTCAGATGGGATCACAAGGGATGATAGTGTAAAGGATGAGGAAGTTATAGTTGTAGGTGACTCTGTAGTGAAGTAAATAAGAGCAATGATGTGCTTATGCTATCCAGGAGCAGGGGTACAGGATATAACTGATAAAACCAGAGAGATAATTAAGAGTGCTGGTAGCAATGCAGATTTTGTGGTACATGTTGGGGCAAATGATGTAAGGAAAGATGGATCTGAGGAGCTTATTGATAAGGGAATTTAAGGAAAGGAGTCATAGCTTGATTATGTCAGGAATATTGCCAAGAATAAATTGTGGGGATGAGATACTAAGTACGTAACTAGGATTGAATGTCAGGCTTAGATCAATATGTAGGGATGAGTAAATAAGCTGGTTGGATTTGTGGGATAATTTTAATGGGAAAGTTGGAATGGATGGCTTACACTTAAACAAGGCAGGGGCTAGCATGTTAGCAAAAGCTATTAATTCAGCTATAGTGGTAGATTTAAACTAGGGCTAGACAGAGGTGAGGACTATGATATTAGTAAAATAGGAAATATAATTGACAGGAAAACATGTACAACAGGCATTAAATATTTTAGCTAGGATTATTAGATATAAAATTGAGGAGTTCAAAGCAGTTGTGGAAACTGAGAATTTTGATATTATGGATATCACTGAGACTTGGATGGATTTGAACAATTTTGATGAGAGACTTTTTTCTTAAATACCAGGCTATAGATTATTTACTAGAGATAGAGTATTGAAAAAAGGAGGAGGAGTAGCTTTACATTTGAGGATTGAATTGCATCCTATTGAGTTAGAGCATATTAAAGAAAATAGCACTGAGGTTGAGTCAGTTTGAGTTAGTGTTAGTGAATATAAAAGGAAAAGTCTTGTAATTGGGATTTTTTATAGAGCACCAGGTCAGAATGTGGAAGTTAATGAGAAATTGTATAATGATATCAGAATGGTAGCTGAAAAAGCTGTTATTATGGGAGATTTTAATTTCAGGAGTATTGATTGGGAAAATTTCAAGTCTGACAGTGAGGGGGATAGGTTTTTGGAAATTGTTCTGGATACTTTTATTCACCAACTGATGATGAAACCTACAAGAGAGAAAGCTATATTAGATTTAATATTAGCACCTGATTTGAATATGATAGACAGAGTTGTGGTTGGTGAGTATTTAAGTACAAGTTACCATTGCACTATTAGGTTTGTGACTTTACTATATGTAGGATTGAAGAAGAATAGTACCCTGATTCCAAATTTCAGGAAAGCCAATTTTGATGGAATGAGACAGGATCTGGCTTCTGTAGATTGGATTAAAGAGTTGGGAGGGGATCTTGAACAGATATGGGAAGCATTTAGGGAAAAATTGATATGCATACAGAATATACATGTTCCCTACATAAAAATATGGACAACAGAACTGGAATAAGCCAGTATGGTTTAGTAAAGATTTAAGAAATCATATTAGGAATAAACATAGTAAATTCAAGAAATTTATTAAACTTACTGGAAATAATAAGGACTTGGAGGACTATAGGAAATCAAGAGAGCTGGTTAAAAAGGAAGTTAATAGGGCAAAAACTGTGTTTGAAAGAGGGTTGGTAGAGAGACTTAAATCAAACAATAAGGAATTCTTTAGGTATATGCTGGGTAAGTAAAAATGTTAGGATGGGGGATTGAGTCTCTTCAAAATGATAGTGGGGAGCTGATCTCAGAAGATTTTGAGATGGTAAACTTATAAAATTATATGTTCTCTTCAG